CTGTCGTCGGGAATGAGGAGATCAATGCGCTCATACGTGTCCCCCCATTTCCTCGTTGCTCGCACAAAAAAATTAGAGAGTATTTCGGCAATAACGCCCTTCCGAACACGGCAAACGCCAGACGCCGCACGTAATAAACGAAATAAATGCCCATTTCTATCAATCTAATTTAATTTTAATCTTCGTTTAACTAACTCTTTATCTTTCTCTAGTTCTAAGAATAAGATGAAGAACAATTAGTTCAACCGAGAGATTAAAGTTAATCTATATTGATAGAAATAAATGATCCCGGGATAAGGAATTATCGTTGTTCACGAGACCGCCAAAACGTGGAATACCGTTTACTGTGTTCGGTTTAAACGGCGTACTTGCCATTCGACAATGGCGATAATTACCTAGATGAAGCGAAGTGAAGCACGTCTAACAATCGTAGTGTAGCGAGCAATACACAGCTACGTGTAAGTGGTATACAATGTATACACACGAGGACAATCTCGCCCCCCCCCTCACTCTCTCTCTCATTCGCTCGCTCTCGCTCTCAGCATGTCGTAATAATATCAATCAATGAGACATGACAATTCTGGTTCGGTTCGTTATACTATCGGTCGACAGAAGGGAATGGGACCCGTCCCTTAAAGCTGTTTATCGTTTTCTTTTTTCCGCTAGTAAAACGCGGAATCGAAAAGCCCGAAAGCCGAGCAGCCTAGCCGGGGCGATGATATCAAGCGAGTCAAAACGAGTACGGCAAGTGTGGAAATTTCACTTCCGTTCCATCGAGCAGTACGAACTTGAGGGTTCGATCGAGTGATTTTTTTCATGGAGGAATTCGTAATGTCACACGGAACAAATTCCCCTTCCTTCTTTCTTTTTTCTTCTTTCCCGGAAGTGAGAAACACGGAGCATCGCAGGGGAAGGGGGGAGGGGGTGGGGGTGATTTTATGTGTAATTCGTTGGATAATACCTCGAGTCCTTCTTCGACGGATATGTAGAGCAACGGGATGGTGACATTTTACACTGCCTGGCCGCCATTAGAAATAGCCAACGAACAGTTTGATAATAGTATCGACACTTTGGACTTTTATTTCGAAGTCGACAGTTTTTATTATTTTTCGATATCATCTTTTAAAAGTGACTTACAAACCCAGATCCTTTCCTTTGAGACAAGCCGTTCGATCAATTCAAACTTTCTTCAGGGATTACTATAAATCATATTTTCACATCGCTTCTTTATTTCAACAAACACAACTCAAACACAACAACATGATCCTCGAATTATTATTATGAGTCAAATAAATATTACTCTATTGATCATCAAAAGCAAACTATCTTAACTTTGAGAAAATGAACTTTGTCTAAAAATTGTCAAAATCAAAAAGATTTTTCTAAGAACTGTGAAACAAAAATGATCATCTCATGTTAAGAATATCAATATCAAAAGATCATGTTAAGAATATATTCTTTTTGCCGTTATTATTCGATTAGTCAATCATTTTCTGTCAAGTTAAACAATAATTTTTTCTCTTTTCTGGAAAATTTACATTATCGCTTCAAAGTTTCAATGTACTACCCATTTATGGAAATTTCATAATATATCATAAAGAACAAAATATGAATACAATTTGCATTTATTATGTTTTTAAATTTATTATTACATATATTTTCATTGAAACTGGAAAATGAGTTTATTCTTTTTTTAGATTTTTTTTCTTAAAACCTAATCTTTTCGAGCTTTAATAAAAGCTATACTTTTGATATAGCTGACGAAAATTCTGATGATCAATTTTTCAAGTATCTTAAACAAAGATTTGTATTGAATTTGTTAAACTTTCGCGGAAATATTTATTACATATTACTCTCTATTATTGTTAGTAGCCATGAGATCCAAATGCTTATCGGTGTCTAAAGAAAAATTGATATCGATATTTTTTTCAATCGATACACACATGATATTTGTCTATTTACGAAATTTATTTACAATTTCCCTTTTAATTATTTTTCAGCTATTCAACTTTATCGAATATATATATATATATATATATATTTTTTTTTTATAATCGGAAATAAGAGAGTATATATCACATCACATTTCCGTGTCTTATACATGAAAAATGGAATTGTTAGCAAAAACATAAAGAGGTGCTGAAACTTTCGAATGATAGAGTAATTTTTTAAGCTGTGTATTTATAAAATAAAGAAGTGATATATTAAAAATATAATTACAGTAATTATACTTAATCTTTCTGATTAATTTTCATAGTGAACGACATTAATCAATATCTGTTATAGATAATAATATTCGTTGTTGATCCCCTTTTCTGAATGGCCATTTCTAGCCTCGACTCGCCTCGATGATCGCTGTAATTGATGGCATTCACATTACAACAACCGACGCTCCGGCCTGGCTGCAGGGATGTATTGTCGACTTATTCAAAGGATAATCTTCAATTTCGAGTCAGATCGCTGATTAGTTACCTCGCGTCGCACTACGCGTCCGTCGGCTTCGCAATGAGCCTCTCATGGCTGTATTTATAGCGAAATTGTGAGCATAAATTATTCAGACAATAACTAAAGTAGTGTAAAGCGATGTAAATGGAACACCGATGAGGATTCAATTGGACCTTAATAATTAATTTTTGTTAATACAATTAAATAAAGGGAGAATGCGTTGAGAGAGTAACGACAGAAAGAAAGGAATACGACGCGAGCACTGAGAGTAAAAAATGGCTGTAATTATCATAATAACTATAATTCAGAGTTATTCGTGGTGTTCCAATTATATACTTTTTTGACAGAAATAACAATATAATTATTATATTATATAGCAGATGTCCAATTTTAGCTCTGGGCCAAAATGTAAAGCCAATAAACGCAAAAAAAAAACAATATATATAGATAAGATTTCGGGGACTGTAAATACTAATATACGCATCTAAACGATGTTTATTTTACAGTCATACCTTACAGGACATTTTACAGTTTCTGAAATCTTATTCACATTGAATATGGACAGGTCTGTCATATAGCAAAAATAAAGCGATATAAAAATGGAGTTCTTAACCATATAACTATTTTACCATTTATAGTTTATATTTTGCAATTATAGTGACAAATACCAAACACTTTTCTCTCAGTGCGAAGGATATTTTTAATAACAAAATTGTTTCAATACTCGAGTTTGAAATATTCCAACTCGATGAGTTTTCGCGCAGGGATAATATTGCGAGGACGCGATATGTGTGTTAGCTCCGATGGAGCTCGATTTAGGTCCTTGATGAGCGTATGCACATCACTCGATACACACTCGAGACACTACCCATCTCGAGTGTCGACGAGCTATAAATACGGCCCTTCAACACGGAGCCTAGTAGTCGAGACGCGTTCAAGTGCAGGCGGCGGACCATCATCGTCATTATCAACATCATCGTTAAGCGCGACGTGTTGCATCGATCGTATCGACGGGCGGCGTCGCGACATGGTCCGAGGAACGTGGTCGGAGGAGGAAGAAGAGGCTTCCGCGCGTGGTCTTCTCTAATGTAATATATCCGCAAAACGCGATGATAAGGGAAATTGCGAGATTCCCACGCGCGTCACGAGAAACACTACGGATAACGTTCAATGATGTGCCGTAAAGGAGGTAGGCGGGAGATGGACAAGAAGGGGTGAGGGGAGTAAACGTTATATATATATATAATTACTTTGCTAATTGTCTATATTCGAGTTGTTTCCCGTGGGAACGCCTAAAAACGTCTCGAGTCTAATCTTTCCCATTGGAAAAAACATTAAAAATGTTGCGTCGATATGGAAAACGTGTGCCGTAATCACATGTACAGTTACAATCTCGTAATATCTTGCGATGCGCTTACAACAAATCTGTGCCTACGTTATGTGTGTGTGTGTGTGTGGACTTGTGTCGTGGCTTGCTGCTCGTTTGTAATCCTAATTAGCTAGCATAGTCATTACAAAATTCTTACAACTATTCAACAAAAACCAATCTCATAACAATTCTTATCTACTTGTTATTCGTCATCGTTCGCACATGCACTTTCACCCTTTGATCGCCTTTCTTTCTCTGCTTTTCTTTCTCTCATTCGATCTCTCGCTCTCCCCCCCCCCCCCCCTCTCTCC